GTAGAACTAACAGTGAGAAGTAGCTGTGTTGGCTAAGAGAAGGTACTTATGCTTACAACAGACTAATAAAATCAATTATTAATTCAACATGAATGATTTAAGTGTGTCATTGATAATATATGACACTGGCTGTTCTCAGTGTGGACCACTTTCCCTAGATAACCACATGGCTGGCTTTCTTACCTTCAGTTCTTTGCTCAAACACCAGCTCCTCAGAGAGGTCTGCCCTGACCCCCTATTTAAAATCTCTGCCCCACCTGACCTCAATACTCTCTGTCCCCCTTTCCAGCTGGATTTTTCTCTACAAATGTTTGCCGAGTGAATAATTATAAATATATAATGAGTATAAGGATTAATAAATAATCAAGATTATTAATCACGATTCTCTTGTTGGAAATCATGTATTCTATTAGCCAGCATGTATTGGGCATAGTAGTATGCAGGACACAGTTTTAAGTGCTTTTATGCCTATTGGCCAATTTAATCCTCATGACAACTCTATGAGGTTGATGCCATTATTATACCCATTATCCAGATGAGGAAATCAAGGCACAGAGAGGTGAAGTCTGTTTCCTAAGGTGCCACAGCTGGTAAATGGTGGAGCTGGGACATGAATTGTGGTTTTCCAGCTCCTGAGCCTGGGCTCTCTGCCCTTTTGGGTCTCTGTCTCATCCCCTTCTCCAGCGACCCTGGCCATGGACCAGCCAGCTGGCCTGCAGGTGGACTACGTCTTCCGGGGTGTGGAGCATGCCGTGCGGGTGGTGGTGTCTGGGCAGGTGCTAGAGCTGGAGGTGGAGGACCGGATGACAGCCGACCAGTGGCGGGGCGAGTTCGATGCCAGCTGTGAGTGTGCCTGCCTGGGTGGGCCAACCTGTCCTTCCTGGGGTCAGTTTCTCCTAGAAGATGAGGTCAACCAGCATCCTGCCTACCTGCCTCTTCTACCTGACCAGAAGCTCTAAGGTGGGGAGGGCTCATCTCCACTGGAGTCAGGGAAAGTCAGAAAGCTTGGAGGCGTTGCCCTTGGATGGGGCAAGCGTTCAGACCTCAGAAAGGACTTTTCTCCCCTTCCAGTCATCGAAGATTTGACTCACAAGACAGGGAACTTCAAACAGTTCAACATCTTCTGTAACATGCTGGAGTCAGCCCTCACCCAGGTAGGTGTCCCCTGGATTCCTGGAGGGTAGATGCCCATCTGATGTATGTAAGACCCTGTACCTTCTTTTTCATTGCAGGGACAGGGCCATCTATTTCTTTTCTTCTTTCCCCAAAGCAAATGGCTTGTTCTGATTCTAATGAGTTATTCTCATGTAGAAAATTCAGGTCACAGAGAAATGTAAAGAAAAAAGGAAAAATCACTCTACTCTTAAGACTCATTCCTGGTAATGTTTTGGTGAAAATCACTCTGATCACTTCTCCATTTCTCTACTCATTCGTGAATGTGTGTGCGCATTTGCAGATCTATAGTTGATATATTTTCCAGGGTATTCTGTAACCTGCTTTTAAAAGATTCAACAATATTTCATAAAAGTTTCATTACATCAGTGAATATAGCCAATCATTCATTACATTGCACTATTCTCGGCACTGGGAATATAGCAGTGAACAAAAGAGACAAAATTCCTGTCTTCATGAAGCTGACATTCTAGTGGGATTGTCTAATTGAAAAAATATATAATGTCAAGTAGTTAAAAGTATTGACAGGAAAAGAAAAAGCAGGTTGGAACTTAAAGTGACAGGGATGCTAGTTAGACATCATTTTAAAACTGCGAACTGCATTATTTCTCTGATTACAGACAAAATATGCACTCATGTAATTAAGACAGTAATGTGTGATTTAGAGAGTGAGAGTCACTAAGAATCACCTTTCTGTGTCCCACCCCAGACTGCTAACATTTTAGTATCTACAGGCATAATAAACAGCATAATAGCTAAGAGCATGCACTCTGAATTCAGACGCATCATGGCCACTGGCTGGGAGCCTGGGCCAGTTACTCCCTCCATGCCTTAGTTTCCCTATCTGTAATGTGTGGATGATAGCAGTCCCCACTGCAGTGTTGTGAAGGTTAAATGAGTTATGTGTAAAAAGCTTAAATAATGCCTGGCTCATAATAAGTGCTATAAAGGTATTATTATTATTATTATTATCTTTTTGAGTTTGTCATCCTTGTTAGTAGTTGCTTAGAATTCATTCCATTGTACCCATTCATCATGATTTATCTAACCCAGTGGTTCTCAAACTTTTTGGTTTCAAGATCCTTTTATACTCTTAAAAATTATTGAGGAAACCAAAGAGCTTTTACTTATGCAGGATTTATCAACATTTGTTTGCCATATTAGGAATTAAAACTGAGAAAAATTTAAAGATACCTATGAATTCATTTAAAAATAACGATAAAAAATCTGTTATATGTTAACCTCAACATTTTTATGAAAAATATATTTTCCAAAACAAAATAAATTAGGAAGAAACATAGCATTGTTTTACATTTTTCCAATCTCCTTAATGTCTGGCTTACTAGAAAACTGCTGGATTTTCATATGTGCTTATGCATTCAGTCTGTTGTGATACGTTTTAGTTGAAGTATATGCAGAAAAAAACCTGCCTCACATAGATATATAGTTGGAAAGGGAGTTCTTAAATAGCTATTTTAGATTACTGTGCATATCCTTTGCTAACACACTAAAATGGGACAGGTGGTAGTTTCTTGAAGGTTGGTTGCAATGTGGAATCTGAAACCACATAATGAACTTTTTGTGTTCTGTTACACTAAAATCTGGTGTATCTTGTACCTCGCTTGGATCCTTTACCCATTTGGTAACACCACATATTGGTCATTTGGAAATATTGGTTCATTAAGTTGTGCAGCTCTTCTGAATGTTGACACATTTCGTTATGCAATATCAGGAAGTCACATTTGTTAATATCCTCAGTGGTCTCACCAGGAGTCTTTCAACATCGAGAGGCTATCCAGCACATGGTGGAAGATACAAGTTCTTCAAAATTCCAATTTTCACTTTGGCGTTTGCATTTTATCATTGGCAACAAATACTGTTAGCTGTTTTTCTTGACGTGACAGGCTCACTCTGTTCATTTTTGAGAAAAAGCCTGCCAGACACCCAAGTCTGAATAACTCTAGTTTTGTCTGTCAGTTGCTCTTTCAAGTAAAAGTAGCATTCCATGAAAAGGTGGCTAACTTAGTGCAGCGCTCAATTGCACCAGTGTTTTTCCTGAAACAACTGTCGCCCTTTGGTGTGCAGCAGCATGCCAGTTCCCATTTGGTCACACAGAGTACTACAAAACTGTGAAGTCAAGGGTTGAGATTCAGTAAAATTAATAATATTCATAGCATGATCAAGAACATTCCTAGGTTTCATTTTCAGTGTTTTATGTACCTATCTATCTATTTATTTGTTTATTTCTCCCTCCTGGCCCCCCCACTGAGACTGCATGGCAATGAGAATACAATGACTGCTAATAGATTTGATGCCATTGGCTGAATTTCTGCTGATGGGCACCATCATATTTACCTACCATTACTTTTGCACCATTAGTGCGAATGTCAGCACAACAAAAAAGGCAGATGACATCTTAGTATTATTATACAAATTGTTTTGACCTCTTGGACTTCCTGCAAGGGTCTAAAGGACCCCCATGGGTCTGCGAACAACACAATCCTAAGCTGTCCCCATTGGTTGAGCAATTAGGTTCTTTCCAGTTTCTCCCTCTGATGACGTCCTTGCGCCACCACCTTGGACAGGGCCATCTTGTGCATCAGCCTCCGTTAGGAAGGCCCAGCTAGACCAGAGAACGGGTCAGCGTGTGGCCCAGGCATGTGGGTTGTGTCCTCTGGGTATGGCCATGTTGGGTCTTGTGGCAGCTCCTCCTATCCTCTCCCAACAGAGCAGTGAGTCGGTCACCCTTGACTTGCTGACCTACACAGACCTGGAGTCCCTGCGGAACCGCAAGATGGGGGGCCGCCCAGGCCCTTTGGCCTCGAGGTCGGCCCAGCTTAACTCCAAGCGCTACCTGATCCTCATCTACTCCGTGGAGTTTGACAGGTGGGACAAGGGGCTGATTCTAGGTCCACACTGATGGGCAGGTGGGAGAGGATGTGGTAGGACCTCAGGAACCCCGGGTTCCCAGGTCAAGGTGGGATGTTGCTTAAAGCTTGCCTTTGGAATCTTCAGTGTTGAGGTTTGTATCATTTCATTGTGTTTGGCTACAAGTAGCAGAATAGCCATTACCAGTGCCTTAAAAAAACAATAGCTTATCACTTAACAAGATGTCTAGGTAGTTGGTGGCAACTCAGCAGTTTCATTAGGGACTCAGNTGCCTAGAAGAGGAGATAGGGGGAGCAGAGCGGGCGAAGTTTGTGGAGGTGAGGGAGGCAGGTTTGTGTAATGGGGAGCGTTGGATTCAAGGAGAATATTCAGGGGCTTAATATCTGGTGATTGAGGTGGAGGCTCGTGACATCAGGCAGTTGGATGTTATCTAGTGAAGGGCTGCTATTCTCAGTGTGAAAATGGGGGGGTTCATGTGGGGGAATGGGGAAGGAGGGAAGGGACGGGTTGACAGCGGGGATGGGGTGGACACCCTTTCTCCTTTGTTTCCTCCTGGGAGGTTGGGTACCACTAGTCAGGTTGTGAATGGGGCAGTGAAGCTGCGCGGTTACTCCACGTGTTCCGCTGCTGCCTCCAACGCCTTGGTAACCAGGACGGCATGATTGCTGATTGGCTCGTGGAATATGAGGGCGGGTTAGTGGGCGGGGTATAGAACACCCGGTGGGGAAGATCTGGTGCTGCCTGGCGCCAGCATTGGGGACCAAGGGATGAGGGATATGTTGAAATGTGTGGCTGTACGGACCTCTGGAATCTTCAGAGAATGAAAGTACAATCGCGAGAGTGAGTTTTTTCCAGGGAAAGAGGGCTCCAGATTTCTTCAGCCCCTTCAAAGCACCAGAGACCCGCTCCTCCAAATAACACTGACCTAGCATTTCAGGGTTCATCTTTTCCTCTCTCATAATATGATATTTTCCAATATCATACTTTAGGAAGGACTTTCTGGGGAAAATGTGAGGACTAAAGGAGGCAATGGGAAGAGAAGGAAACCAGGCATTGGAAGGGTCCCCATGATCTGGGTTAAAAGCAGCCCTGGGTGGCTCTGTCTTTGGAGCAGCTGTGGAATCTGGACAGGACCCTGTTTTTCTCAGGGAGCTGAGCCTCAGGTTCCCTGTCTGTACACTGGGGAGGGAATGGGCTTACCTTGTCTCTATAGTCTTTTTCAAACTCAGAAACANTTTATAGTGTGTGGCACTCAGTTTAGTGGATGCACCACTGAAATTCAACTAGCTCTCTGTTGATGTACATTTTGATTATTTCCACTCTTTTGCTTTACAAATAGTGGTGCAACGAATAGCCTTGTGTGTATATCTTTTTCTCAAGGAATGATTTTGAACTGAGTAGTGACCTGATCGGATTTGCATTTGAAAGAGTCCTCTGGAGGGAGGCAGTGAGACCCGCCTGGGGCCAGGTCCTCAGGGCTAGCTACGCTTTGAGGTTATAGAGAAGGACAGATCAATGATATATTTTGGAATTAGAACTCACATGGCTGTGTCTGCCCTGTGGGATGCATGGGGGAGATGTGGCCATGTTCCTCGTCACATAGGGGAGGTGGAGGAGGATAGATGATGGGACCTTAGGGGCAGGCGGGAGTGGTGGGGCACCCTTTGTGGGGTAGGTGAAATGGTGCGTAACCACCCCGGTGAAGGAGCGGGTATGATGGGACCGTGCACCCATGCTCCCCCACCCCACCCCTCCACCCCTCGCTGTCTTCCCTTTCCCCTCTCCGCCCAGGGTGTCTCGCCTGGCGTCTGAGAAGCACGAACTGGAGGCCCAGTTGGGCCGATCGCGCGAGGAGGCGCTGGCCGGGCGGGCGGCGCGTCAGGAGGCTGAGGCGCTGCGTGGGTTAGTGCACGACCTGGAGCTGGAGCTGCGGCAAGAGCGCGGCCTGGGGCACCGCGGGGCCCGCCGCCGCAGCAGCCAGGACTGCCGCCGCCTGGCAAAGGAGGTGAGGGGGCACTGCTGTTGGTGGGGGTGGCCGGCCGGGCTTGGACCTTGGCCTCAGTCTCTGGACCTCTGCACCCCTGTCCCTTTTCGGCAGCTAGAGGAGGTGAAGGCATCGGAGCGGAGCCTGCGCGCCCGGCTGAAAACTCTGAACAGCGAGCTAGCCGCATACAAGAGGGGGTGAGGGGCGTGGACCAGGGTGGGCGGGGCCTCGGCGCTGCAGACGGGCTTGGGCCCGATGGGCGTGGCCTGGAGGTGAGCGGGCGGGGCATGAGTGACGGGGTGTGGCTCCGGCAGGATGGAGCAGATGGGTGGAATCTGAGAGTGGGCGGAGGATGGGNTCCTCAGGATTCACTACCCGCTGCCCCTCCCGTACCAGGGCAAGCCGGACCCTGTAGTCCTTCAGGGCATTATTCGCTCACTGAAGGAGGAGCTGAGCCGCCTTCGAGGGCTGGACCACCAGGACCCTCGCGACACCCGGGATTCTGAGATCTGGCGCCTGCGGGAGCAGTGAGTCTGGGAGTGGGGGGCAGTTGGGGCTGGGAGGGCACATCCCATCACGCACTGCAGGGCCGAATGCTCAGTACTGTTGGGAGGGCAGTGGTCCCTCATTCACCAAATATTTATTCTGAGCCCCTCCTCTGTGCCTGCCTTGTGCTGGGTGGTGTTGGGGACACAGCGGTAACTCAGACAATCTTGGCCCTGCCCTTCTGGGACTCCCAGTCCAGTGAGGGAGACAGATTTGTCTATAGATAGTGAAGACTTACAGTGGGCAGGGTAGGGGAGCCCAGAAGGGGGAACTTGACCCTGCCTGGTAAGGGGGTGTGCCAGGGAAAGTGAACAATATGTGCAAAGACGGGGTGGGAGGTAGATTTATTTTCGGCACCTCTTTTGTGCTGGCCCCTTTCTGCCCCTCATGTAAGTGGCCAGCCAAGGGGGCAGATAGATGCTGATCACATAACCACTGAGTATATCACTGCAAACGGAAATGGGGTTAGTCAGGAAAGAACCTGTGCTATGGGAGGCTGAACAGCAACCTGAAGGGGTTGTGAGGTGGGTCAATCGAAGGAGGTGAGAAAGTGTTCTAGGCAGAGGGAGTAGCATGTGCAAAGGTCTTGTGTTAGGTGAGAATGTGGTGAGAACAAGGGGACTGAAAGCGTGAAATGAAGAAAGCAAAGGCGTTTGGCAGCTTGAGTGCCTGCTGTGTGCTGTGGGCTGTGGGCTATGGGGGAGCTGAACTGGGGACTTGGTCTCTACCTGGAGGAGGCCCCACTCATAGGGGAGGGTAATACTATTTTTAATAGCAGCAGCAGCAGCAGCAGCAGCAGCAGCAGTAATAATAATAATAGCAGTAGCTAATGTTTTTGAGCATTTAACCTTGTGCCAGGACTCTGCTCAGTGCTTTATGATTTGAATTCCTGTAATCCTCATGAAGTAGGCATTGCTATCGTCCTCACTTTAAAGGAGGAAACCGAGGCCCAGAGAGGTTAGAGAAATTGCCCCAGGTCACACAGTGAGAAATATGGCCAGTCTAGACCTTGAATCCAGGCAGCCAGCACCAAGCCCCCTTTGGTTCCCCAGCCATTGTGCACTGTTGGCAGCTGCTAGCCCAGAACTGTGCGTTCAGTGCTGACAGGAAGGACCAGCCCTCTCTGCTGCCAGGAGTGGGAGCTCAAGGGGCTGTGAAACCCTGTGGGTCTTCCTGGAGGAGGTTGGCTGTGCAGTGCTGGAAGCAAGAAGGCTTTACCTTCAGTTCATCCTCAGGATGTACCCTCAGGCCTGCTTGATAGGTGTGTGCGTGCGTGTGTGTTTCTCAGGATGGCCACTAGGTGGCAACCTGTGCCCTGAGATCCCACAGCCAGATCTCCGGCTTCTCATTTTCCTCTTCCCAATTTGGAGTTGGGAGTTTGGGAAGGCTCCAAGATTTATTCATTCATTCATCCAACACTTAAGGAGTTCATACTGTGACTAGTTAATATTTATTGAGCCCTTCCTCAGTGCCAGAAATGGTCTAAGCACTCTTCCTAGACTCCCACAACCTGTGGGTAGGTATTATTGTCCCATTTCACAGAGCTGTGAAGTGAAACTGCCCAAAGGTCACCCAGTTTGTAATAGGTGGAGCGGAGTTGGATGCAGGCAGCCTGGCCACAGAGCCCAGGTTCCTATACAGTGGCCAGATAGATATGTGGTGACCCTGTCCTGATGGGGTGGGAATCCCGACAGAAAACAGGTCATAACACTGATAAACGCCAACTAGGAAGCTCGAAGGAAATGTACAGAGATTTCAGAGAACACAGGGACAGACCTAGCCTGGCTGGGGGCAGGCAGGCTTCCCTGGGAGGGAGGTGATGTTTGAAGGATGAGTGGAGTCATTCCTGCCAGGAGAAGGAGAGAGAGCTCCAGGAGGAGAAAGCTGCATTTTCAAAGAGCAGCTTGGCTGTGGAGCACCAAGGGAGAGGGAGGTAAGAGGAGAGGAGGCGAGGGAGGACTTCCGCTGGAAGGGGCTCAATGGGAAACTCCTTGGAAAGCTTGGGGAGCCACAGATTAAAAAAACAAACACGTTTTATTAGGAAAAATTCCAAGCACACACAAAAGTAGATAGTAGTGTAATATGCATGCACTTGTGCCCAGCTTCAACAGTTACCCACATTTTGTCCTTCTTGTTTGATCTGTGCTTCCCTCTCTCCTCTGAGAAGCAAATCCCAGACATCATTTCTCCTATGTAAACACTTTAGCAAGTATCTTTAACACACAGGGGCATTTAAAATACAAACAGAAGCACTGTGATCACATACAACAAAATTAACAAAAATTCCTTAATGTGTGTAGGTGTTGACACTTCTCGGATTATCTCACAAATGTCTTTTGTAATTGACTTGTGTGAATTAATATCTGAATACAGCCACACATTGCAGTTTGTTGATGTGATTCTTTTTTTTTAGCTGAGCCATCCTGCTACCTGTTGGCAG